GATACAATAAGCAGCCCAACCCCATCCAGACAAATAGAGAAGAATATCTGCAGCATAGTGTGGAGAAAACCCAGGTAAGGTAGAAATCATGGGAAGAAGAAAATGGACTATGAGGAGCGGAGTTAGAACATGTAAGGGAAGGGATTAAAGGGATAGAGACAGAGCAGGAAGGGAGGAGAGATTCAAGGAAGGAGATAGTTATATAGCAAGAGTGGAGATGCCTGAGGAAAAGGAGATGGATAGTGAAGGAATACCTGTGGACTAAAGAGTGGGTTCATTTCAAATTTCTCAGGGAGTAAGCAGAGAGAAAGTAGCAAATGCGACCCCCTAGAAAGCCACCATATAAGGTGGGGGTGGGGAGATGGAAGGGAGAGAACAATTAAAAGAAACGTGGGAGACGAGTGAAGGATGCAGACAGCAGAAGGAGAAGTCATTGGGGAGCTTGTTTGGTGAGGAGGGGGCAGGTGACCAGGATCGCACTATCTTTCAACTATTTTATAATGGTATTATATCTCCCCTTAGTCCTCTCTTCTCAAGGCTAAACATGCCCAGTTCTTTCAGTCTTAGAATCATAGGTGTATAAAGCCATCAGGTTCAACTCTGTTCTGTGCAGGAATACAAACCAGAAGATATCTGCCAGTTGGTTGTCAAAGTTTCTCTTGAATGCCTCCAGTGTTGATGCTCTCGCCACCTCTCAAGGTAATTGGTTCAATTGTCATACTACTCAGACGCTCTCGCCACCTCTCAATGTAATTGGTTCAATTGTCATACTACTCAGATAGTTAGGAAGTTTTTCCTGATATTCAGTCGAAACCTGGCTTCCTATAACTTGAGCCCTTAGAACAATAAAACAGTGGAACCAATTAACTCAAGAGCTGGTGAGTGCTCCAACCCTGGAGGCATTCAAGAGAAACTTTGACAACAGCCCGGCATATATCCTTTGATTTGTATTTCTGCATTGAGCAGGGGGTTGGACTTGATGGCCTTATAGGCCCCTTCCAACTTCACTATTCTATGATTCTGTGATTCTGATCTTACATTGAAATCACCCATTATAAGTAACCGAACTCTGGGCAAATTAGATTCTAGCGAAACCTGGCTTCCTGAAACTTGAACCCGCTGTTGTGTGTCCTGCACTCAGGGAGGCTTGAGAACAGATCCTGCCCCTCCTCTGGATGACAGCCTTTCAAGTATTTGAAAAGTGCTATAAAATCTCACCTCAGTCTTCTTTTTCTCAAGGCTAAACATGCCCAATTCTTTCAGTCTTTCCTCACAGGGCTTGGTTTCTACCCCCCAACCCCGATCATCCCTCTGAGCTTTTTCGAGATAGCCAGCATACTTTTTAAAGTTCATTGTCCAGAACTGGACACAGTACTTGAGATGAGTCCTAACCAGTGCTAAATAGAGAAGGATTAGTATCTTCCAGTAATTGGAGACGATTACCTTCTGTTAAAGGTAAAGGTAAAGGTATCTGGTAGTCCAGATAGATGGGGTATAAATCAAATAAATAAATACATAAATAAATAAATGAGTATCATGGGGTACTTTGTTAAAAATTTTGCTGACGTCAAGATGTATGATGTCGAAACCATTCCCATAGTCTACCAGGGAGAGTACCAGATCAAAACAATGAGATAAGATTAGTCTGGTAGGATTTCTTCTTGACAAATCCTTGTTGCTGTGCAGTTAAGAAATCGCCACAGGTATTATCTGTTACATACTGAATCACGTGACCTGGCATGCAATAATGCCTATGAAGATATTTTTTAACTTATTACAATTCACATCTAAAAGTTACACCATTTCCATAACTACACAATAGCATTTCAGCCTGTGTTTCCTCATCACTGTGTCATTTGGGAGGTACCTTTACCAGACCTATGCTATCTAATGGTTGACATTTTTGAAGGCCAGTTTAATACCTGGAAAATCAATAATGGGAGGTCAAGAGTACATACAGTATATATGCATTGCTTCCCTCCCTTTGCATCTTTCTGATCTCTTCAAATACAAGCAGCAAAAAAGGGGGAGGGGGAAAGGTCTGTATTGAAGACCCAGTATAGTGCATAAATGGATGGAAAACTTCTTTAGGAGTATTTTATCACTGAAGTAAAATACTCCTAAAGAAGTTTTCCATCCATTTATGCACTATACTGGAGTCCTTCTCTAACTGGGAGGAGGCCACAAGTGGGGCTCCTCAAGGCTCAGTCCTGGGCCCGGTGATCTTCAATATTTTTGTTAATGACTTGGATGAGGGAGTGCAGGGAATACTTGCCAACTCTGCGGATGAAACCAAATTGGGCGGAATAGCTAATACCCTAGAAGACAGGAACAAAATTCAAAATGACCTTGATAGGATGGAACACTGGGCTGAAAAGAACAGCATGAAAGTCAACAGGGAGAAGTGCAAAGGATACCTGGCTCGGCAATACTACGAGTGAGAAGGATCTTGAATTGTCGTAGATCACAAGCTGAATATGAGCCAAAAGTGTGATGTGGCTACAAAAAAGGCAAATGCTATTTTAGGCTACGTTAACAGAAGCCTAGTTTCCAAATCCCATGAGGTGCTAGTTCCTCTCTGTTCAGCACTGGTTAGGCCTCAGTTTGAGTCTTGTGTCCAATTCTGGACACCTCACATCAAGATGGATGCTAACAAATTAGAACAAGTTCAGAGGAGAGCGACAAAGATGATCAAGTGACTGAGGAAAGACTGAAAGAACTGGGCATGTGTAACCTTGAAAAAAGAAGACAGAGGTGTGATATAATGTTTTTCAAATATTTGAAAGGCTGTCATACAGAGGAGGGGCCGGATCTGTGCTCAATCATCCCGGACTGCAGGACAAGCAACAGTGGGCTCAAGTTATAGGAAGCCAGATTTTGACTGATTATCAGGAAAAACATCCCTTAGAACAGGGGTCTCAAACTGTGGCCCTCCAGATGTTCTTAGCCTACAGCTCCCAGAAGCCTTCAGCACCACCTCTGCTGGCCAGGCTTTCTGGGAGTTGACGTCCAAGAACATCTGGAGGGCCACAGTTTCAGACCCCTGCCTTAGAACAATAAAACAGTGGAACCAATTAACTCAAGAGCTGGTGAGTGCTCCAACCCTGGAGGCATTCAAGAGAAACTTTGACAACAGCCCGGCATATATCCTTTGATTTGTATTTCTGCATTGAGCAGGGGGTTGGACTTGATGGCCTTATAGGCCCCTTCCAACTTCACTATTCTATGATTCTGTGATTCTGATCTTACATTGAAATCACCCATTATAAGTAACCAAACTCTGGGCAAATTAGATTCTAGCCCTATTATATAATTTTCCAAATCTTCCTGGGCCTGCTTTATATCATTCCAAGAGATAAAAGAGAGGATGTAGACGTTGATCAACAGAAGGGACTTGGCAACAAAATCAGTATAACCAGCCACTGCTTTTTTCTCACAGGGGGGTGCCCACCTAACAGATGCTTGAAGAGTTGTAATTATCAATATTACCAAGCCAACCTTAGGTCTACATTTTCTTTTAGTAGGCTCAGCAGGCATTTCATTTACTAAAACCCAATTAAATAGATTTTTTGGTGCTCCAGATTTCTTGAATAAAAATCACATCAAGTCCAACATGTTGGCATCATTTGGCTTGAACGCCCACCCTGCTATATTCTATGAGGCAATTTTAAGCTTGTTGTGTGCGTCAACCAAAATTTTGTTCTAAGGGCTGCTCTCAGACATCAGAGAGAGTGCTCTAACTAAGGGGACAGCTTGGTGCAAAATATGTCAGTCGATCACAGTAATACAATTCAACTCCCATTCTTATTTTGAAAAACACACCCGGATCCTTTTGAGGGGTCAACAGACTCAATTTTAGCTGTTACAACTTGAGGTGTCAGTAGGGGAGCATATTGTCAAAGGTGCAGGTATCTTCTTTGCATCCATTCCTCCCTGGTCATTGGTGTCTTCAAAGGAACAGTAAAAGTATATTTATTTATTTATTTATTCTTTAGCAGTAGAGTACAATGGTGCCTCGCTTAATGATTGTTTCATTAAACAACAAAACCGCTATACGATGACTGTTTTGCGATTGCTTTTGTGATCGCAAAACAATGTTTTAATAACAAAAATCCGCTTTGCGACAATCGGTTCCCTGCTTCGGGAACCTATTCTTCGCATTACGATAATTTTAAAACAGCTGATCGCCGGCTTCACAATGGCCACCTGCTGTGTAAATTGGCTCCCCACTGTGTTTTTGGACGGATTCCCCGCTATACAGGCACTGAAAATGGCCGCCCCTATGGAGGATCTTCGCTGGACGGTGAGTTTTCAGCCCATTGGAACGCATTGAACAGGTTTTCAATGGGATTTTTTATTTCGCTTAACGAGGATTTTGCTGTGCAGCAATTTCACTGGAACGGATTATCCTTGTTAAGTGAGGCACCACTGTAGTTCGTTCCAAGCATACTGTCACTTTTACTTCGAGTACCAGCTTTCTCACTTATCTGGTTTTGTAGCTCTTCCTGTTGCTACTATTCATCTCACTGTCCCATTCCTGGGATCTTGCATTCTTGCCTGTAGTCCCATAAGAGAGGTTTTATGGTTTTTGTGCTGATGATGCTTGATTGTCTGACTTATCCATTTCTTTCTAATAAGATTGTTGCATGTCACTTAGAGGATTAGGTAAACGAGTTTCAAATAAATATGATTAATAATTATAAATAAACAATAGCCTAAAGAAAGCTCTAAAGATTATTGCAGAAAGAAAGACAATTTTTTGGCGGGAAAAGTGGGCCATAAATGTTATAAAAATTCTTCTGCTTGGATAGCTTAGTAGGTTACATGTCTAGCTGTGGAGCCAGAGGTCGGGGGTTCAATTCCCCACTGTGATTCCTTGACTTGTTGGTCCAAAAGGTCCTTCCCAGCTCTGCAAATATTACTTCTTCTTCTTTTTTCTTCTTTCTCCTCTCCTTTTTGACATCTCAATGCTAACTCCTGGCACTGCTTTGTCTTAACAGGACTATCTGGTATGAACTACATGCACGGGAATGGCCGTTCAAGACTCAACCAGCCGAGGCAATAATTTGGCAAATGGGCCGGGGAATGAAGCCAAACCTCAGCCAAATTGGCATGGGGAAAGAGATCTCAGTAAGTAGCTTTTGGCAGTGGGAGTTGCAACAGGAAAGATCAACATTTGCTCATTTCAGTGTCTTTGGGACACTATTAAAGTTGTAATAGGGCAACTAAAATGGTGGATATAGCTGCTGACACAAAGCTTAATATGTAGGTGACCTTGGGCCTTTCACTACTTTATAAACTTGGTGTTATTTTGATGATAAAAGGGATGGGATGGTTTATGCCATCATGAATTCCTTGGAAGAATGATGGGATGAAAATATATTGGATAAGATGATGAGGATGATAATAATACAGTGGGGTCTCTACTTAAGAATAAGATGATGAGGATGATAATAATAATATGTTTATGCAGCACTGTCATTGGTATACATGGTGCTTTGTGGTGTACTGTAAGAAAGATGCTTGTCCCAAGGTCCTTGTAGTGTAATACAGTGGTGCCTCGCATAACGTTTTATGTTGAATCTGCATTTCCCATAGAAATGCATTGAAAACCATTTAATCCGTATCTGCTCTTTTCCGTCCATAGAAACTACAGTGGAACCTCTACTTCAGAACTTAACCCGTTTTGGAATGGTGTTCTTAAGTTGAAACGTTCTTAAGTTGAAGCAAAATTTCCCATAGGAATGGACTGAAAACCAATTAATCCGTTCTGGCTGTTTTTTTGTTATGTAGAGGTGCGTTCGTACATTGAATCATTAGTTCCCATAGGAACTAATGCAAAGCTGGTTAATACGTACTCTACCACTAGGGGGAGAATTTTTTTAAAAACCTAAGATGACCTAAGGTTAAAAAAAGAGCAGGAAAGGTTTTTTTTCCTGTTCTTATCTTGGATTTCTGTTCTCAAGTAGAAGCAAAATTTAGCAAATGGAGCTGTTCTTAAGTTGGATTGTTCTTAAGTAGGGACGTTCTTAAGTAGAGACCCCACTGTAATATGTTTATGCAGCACTGTCATTGGTATACATGGTGCTTTGTGGTGTACTGTAAGAAAGATGCTTGTCCTAAGGTCCTTGTAGTGTAATATTTAACAAGAGCCTGGGAAGGAAGGGGGCAAAAGAATTTTAAAAACAAAGAGACGGTAGAAGAAGGAAAAACATTTTTCATTGGACTCTTTCTCCTGGGTCTCAACATGGCCCACCTTGGCAGAAGGAAAAATCCATTTCCTTTCAGGGAAGATCAGAAGCTGTTGTTAAAACAGCAAATCATGCTCTCAGTAGCCTCTGGGGGAGGCACTTCTTCCCTGCCTCCATCAGCTGGAGGTAAAATTAGTGAAATTACATATAGAGAGCAAATGTGTAGAGGGTCAGAAGCTTCACGGGACATGATCTGCAATTCCTCTTCTTCTTTTTTTAAGGGTTGAGCTGTTGAGGAGGTCACAAGCAGTTTGGGGGCCCTGGGGCAGTCATACATGGTCCCCACTTTCCATATTTTGACCATCCTTCATTTAAAGCATTGCTACCTGCCCTTTGGCTGAAAAACACTGTGAAAGCAACTTATAATTGCCCTGATCAATACAAAAACCAAGATACACTCAGTTTTTACAGTCCAAGAGATGACATGAGATTCCCAGTGTGGTAGTGGACAGAGTGATGGACTGTGACTTGGGAGAACTGGATTTGAATCCCCATTTGGCCATGAAAGCTCACTGGGAGAGTGGAACTGGTAAAGCCACTCCTTAAATATCCCAGTTACCTTTAAAGCCCCATTAGGGTTGCTGTAAGTCAGTTCAGATTTGACAGCACAGAACACACAAACTTGGCATACAAACAAAAAGGGATAGTGAGAGAAGAGAAAAAGGGACAGAATTAGACACTAGTTCTTAAGTCCAATAGCAAAATTATAATGACCAGCTGGAAACAATTCAGAGAGAGGAGGAGCCTGATGAAGCTTGTCATTCAGAAAAGCTAAGAGAGTGAGCCTGTTTCTTCTGTATTTGTGCCTCAACTTGACAGAGGCTGCCGGAAGACCAAGAGGACCTATGGGAAGATGGAACAAGGAAATGAAACAGATAACAACAGTTTCCAGGAATCTGCTCTCTTTTTTAGCTTTTGGCAGTAGCAGTATAACTCTACCTTTGAAAGTCTGTGATTACAGTGGGGTCTTGACTTAAGAACAGCTCGAGTTAAGAACATTTTGTCTTAAGAACCACTCTCATAGGAAAATATTGACTTGACTTACATACTTAGATTTGAGTTAAGAACTGAAAAAAAACCCCGTGGGAGGCAGGGAAAGTGCAAAATTTGAACTTTCACTTAACTGTTGGCCAGTGAAAAGGGTGCCTGTCTGCTTCCTCACTCCTCCCAGCGTTTAGAGAGTGGATTGGGAGACAGTCTTCGGACTGCCTGGTACTATACTGCCTGGACTGTATTTTCCCTGCCTTCCCTGAACCTTTCTTGACCTAAGAAAAAAAGAAACAAAATATCCCCCTCTAGTGGTCGAAGGAAGAATAGCAGCTTCCCATTAGTGTCTATGGACGGAAAAGAGCAGATACGGATCAAATGGTTTTCAATGCATTCCTATGGGAAATGCAGATTTGACTTGAGAACTTTTTGACTTGAGAACCGCCTTCCAATACGGATTAAGTTCTCAAGTCAAGACCCCACTGTATAAGCAAAATGAATTGTATTCCTACTGTGTTTTCCCCAAAATAAAACAGGGTCTTATATTAATTTTTGTTCATGTAAAACAATCTACGTTTAATCAAATAGAGTCATGTCATCTTCTGGTTGCTGCACAATGCTGCACAATGGTGGAGGGCGGGTTTTCACTTAATGGGCTTATTTTTGTGGTAGGAGTTATATTACGAGCATCCTGAAAAATCATACTAGAGCTTATTTACGGGTTAGGTCTTATTTTTGGGGAAACAGGGTAGTGGCATTCCAGCTGTAGGGTGTGTGCACGTGTGCTTCTGTGCATCTGTCTGTCCATCTTTATTGCATAGCTTTTTCTTGCTGTCACTCTGCAGGATATCCTTCTTTTTTGCTGGGCCTATGAGCAGGAGGATCGGCCAACTTTCACCAAGCTCATGGAGATGCTGGAGAAACTGCCAAAGAGGAACCGCCGACTTTCTCACCCTGGCCACTTCTGGAAGTCAGCAGAGTAAGAACTTCTCTCTCCTGCTCTTGGTCCTGTTGCCATTATTTGTCATGGCCCTGACCCACAGACAAGCATCAATATTTGTTCTCTCATATATTATTTACGGTATTTCTGAGCTAACACTTAAAGTCTCAGAGCAATTTCCATAGCAAATCCCATCAAAATGCTGTGGAAGATAATTTGGGTTTGTCATGACACCCAAAAGTCAATCTTCACTATATGTTTAGTATGTTTTAGAAGAGGCTCTTCTTTTAAAAAAAATTATAATGACAGAGAAGAACCTTTGAAGAGACAGACACAAACAGACAAGACAAACATGTACATAAAATTGAAATCTTAATATTGACAGAAAAAGGGTTCAATATTTAACACATTTTAAAATTTATCTTGCAGTTACAAGTGTAAGAGGAATTTGTTAGTAGTTTAGAGATTTTATCATATTACAATCTGCACATAATTCTTTTTCCATGATCCAAGGAAGGGCTTATATAAATGCTTAGTATTTTTTTTTTGCTTTGTATATAAAATAAATTGTGAGTTTCATAGAATTCTAATATTTCGGCTTTATCTTTAACTATTCTTATTTGATATGTCAGTTTTTCTACCATGGCAGTTTGCCATAGTTCTGGATATTTTTTGTGAGATTTTAGAAGAAGTTCTTCTTTAAGAATTGAAAGCTGTAATTTTGATCTAGCACATGTTATTCCTCACATGTGAATCCTGCATTTAGCATGCTTTGCTTTGTGATTGGACGTTGGAAGGAAAATACTTGCTTAATTTGCAAAATCTGCTTGCCATGGCACATATTTCTGGGGAAATCAGATTCTGAGAAGGAAAAATGGTTTAACTGAAGGATACATACATATCCCTTAATGTTTCATTTGACTCTGCAGAACAATAAGATGAGCTATGCACATATGTTTGAAATGGGAAGGTGGAACTCTATGACAGACTCTGCACATGCTCGCTCACTTTTTTAAAAATCAATCCTCACATTCCATAGCTGAGCCAAGCACTTGGAATAGTTTCCCAAGGCAGAGATTTGACCTCCAATTAAGCCTTGAGTCTTAGCATGCATATGTTTTTAGGTCAGTGGCTTTGAGCTTAACAGTAATCAAACAATCATAAAATGGCTGCCTTTAGTTTCAACCTAGGCAGAGGAAATCTGCCTTCAATGCTGTTTCTTACATTGACTGTTTACAGATATCCCTGGGTGAAAAAAATGTGAGCCCATCCCCAAGACACTATCTCCCAACTGTCAGCTCACAGCTGGAATGTAAGCCATTTCTTTTCCTGTTTAGAACCAGAAAAGATTGTCAAGGAAAAAGAGGGAGGGAGCCTGTGAGCACAAACGTCATGCTGAAAATCCAGTTCCTTCCCCCCACAACCCCATTTTTCCAAATTCACCTTTATGTAATATTCAGATCAATAATGAGATAGCTGATCTGGATGTGAATCTTTTTAGAGGACCGGCCCGTTATCTTTTAAATTATATTCCAGTTGGAAGAAGATACTGTAGTAGAGAACTTCTCCAGTTATTTCAGTCAGAGACACTCTGTACCTAAAATGTGTCCACTCTGTTGCATAATTGGTGTGAAGTGAAACTTTGAGTGCACGGCATTTTTTAAAAAAATGCATAACCAAAGGGTGAGGGTGTTTCAATCCACATGTAAGTTTGGAATTAGTTTGGTAAACTTAACATTCGTAATAATAATTGCATGCTGTCCAGTCAATTCTGACGTATAGATACCCTTTTTGGGGTTGTTTTCCAGGTAGAGAGAAATAATTTCTATTCCCTTGTTCTGGTGGTACCCTGGGACTTTGCCAAGGCCACACAAGCTGGGATGCACAGTGGGAACAGGAATCCCTACCTCTGGCTCCACAGCCAGATACCTAACCCTTTGAGCTATACATTGCAACCAGACAAACTCCTCCTTGCTGTGGCAGAGAGTAGGAGTCTATGACTCTTGGGGCCCTACTTAGCTCTACAGTTCTGTAATTCTAGGATTCTGTTATCTGTACTCATCCTGAATGCTGCAGCAAGTCACACAACCTTGTGTACACACTAATTTATTAAAATAGGAGCTAAGAAAAGCTGCACTATAATACAACAATTAATAAAACAATTTAGTAAAACAATAAATCTGATTATCTCTCTGTGACACTTGCAATTCCTGCCACTAACTATTGTATGTGTGTGTATGTATGTACAGTGGTGCCTCGCTAGACGATGACAATCCGTTCCACTGAAATCGCTGTTTAGTGAAATCATTGTCTAGCGAAAAGCTTTTTTCCCCATTGGAATGCATTGAAACCTGTTTAATGTGTTCCAATGGGGAAGAATTGTCGTTGTCTAGCGAAGATCAGCCATAGGAAAGCCGCTTTGCGAATTGCTGATCAACTGTTTAAATTGCTGTCTTGCGAAGCTTAGGTCCCGAAAACACCTGTTTTGCGAGCGCAGAGGGAGCTGTCAAAATTGTTGTCTAGTGAAAATCAGTTTGCGAAGCAGGGACCAAACATTGTCCAGCAAAATTCCCCCATAGGAATCACAGTTTTTCAAATCGCTATAGCGATCGCAAAAGTCAATGTCTAGCAAAAAAACTGTCATGCGGGGTAACTGTCTAGCAAGGCACCACTGTATTTCAAATATTTACACCTTACCTTTCTCTTCAAGAGGACCTGAGGTAGCTTACTTTTATTAGTTGTTCAACTCCTTATTGGAACCACATTGATACCTTAAACTTAAAGACATTTTAAAAGTATATTTTAAGAAAGTAAGTATTCAAATCTGAAAAAGCATTCTTTAAAAAAAAAATTGAGGAGCCTACTTAATCAGACATTCAAAACAATTCATCAGAGTGAGCAAACACATACAGTCAATAGCAGATCTAACATTTTTAATTTCCTTGTCTGAAGACATTCTGAAAATGATTCATAGAATCATGAAGTTGGAAGAGGCCTATCAGGCCATTGAGTCCAACCTCCTTCTCAGTGCAGGAATACAAATCAGGCTGTCAGGTGGTTGCCTAAATTGCTCTTGAATGCCTCCAGTGTTGGAGCACTCACTGCCTCTTGGGGTAAATGGTTCCATTGCCGTACTGCTCTAACAGTTAGGAAGTTTTTCCTGCTATTCAACTGAAGTCTGGCTTCCTGCAACAGCCTATTGTTGCATGTCCTGCACTCATATTTTTTTACTTCTTCCTACTAAAAAGAGAGAAAAGTCTAATGCACCAACCAATCATATTTGAGAGGAAGTTTGAAAGCTAAAATGATCCTCTTGTGTAGTGAGGAGAGGGTGACATTCATACTTAATGGAGATGACTTTGATAGCAAAGTCAGTGACGGGAATTGTAGTCCTAAGTGTCTGGAGGTTGTCACATTGCCTTCCTCTGGACTAAGTCTATGAAGGAAGCAGGCAATTAACCTTACTTCCAACTCCCAAAGAAGTAAAAGAATCCCTGCCACGTTTGCATCCATTTTTCATCCTTTTCTTCTCTTTTTCCTTCCAGGCTGTGACAGACGGCTCAGAGGGACGGTGCCTTCTGTATGCCTTCCTTCCTGTCTTCAAACCCTCTTTCCACTCTTCCTCCTCTCCTTGCTCAATGAAAGGCCGGTGCGTTACAGCACACTTGGGAGCCCCCGGAGACAAAGAGAGGCATCTTTGTGCTGATTTCCAGAATGGACACAACATCCCAGAGAGCAAAGGGGGTGCCTCATTCCATTATGGAGATCTTGAAGATCCTAGGGACAGGCAAGGGTTGGATCTTGTTTGCAGCTGATTCCGTACTGGGTCCCACAGCAGTGGTTCCCTGAGCTGCCCTCTGGCTGCCAACAGCACCAGGGACCTGAGGGCAGAGGTGGCATTTTGATACCCTTTCTCCCATCAATTATTATTACGTAAGGGCAATAGAGAGCTTCAGTTGGGTCAGCCTTTCCTAGAAGCCATGAGCAGCACTCTCCAATGCTGATATGGGGCTTACTTTATTTTATTTAGTCATTTTAAGAAAAAATGCTGCTGAATTCTCATTCCAACTACTTAATGATGAAAGTGGAAATTTGTGTTGTTTCCAAAAAGGGCAGATGTTAGAAGAAGGAGCTCCTGGATGTTTCAGTTTAAACCTTGAAGGTACAATAGCTCTGCCCTGTCTTGGCATCTGGCCATCCGAACAACAGCAGTAGTTGAGTGGGTGTCATCTCTGGAAGCAGATTCCGGTCTAAGCAGCCAAGATCTCTGTCGGGATGGGGAATGTGTGACTCCCAGATGCTGATGGACTGCAGATTCTTTAATCCCATAATACTGGACTGGGCTGAGCTAGTTAAGGCTGACAGGAGTTGCACTTCAGTCCCAGAAGAGCCATGCATTCTTCACCCTTGACCTGGAAGGTTTTACATGACATTTGTGACTGTCTAGTTATTAGCAAAATATCTGAGGCTATGCTTGCTCATTTTGTAGCCGGTGTCTATTGCTTTCCAATCCTTCCTCGCTGCATTGGTTCACCTATTCTTTCTCAGTGATGTTTGCTGGACACCATCCTAGGCAGCATCCCGTCCCACCTCCCTCTGCCAAAACTAGGCAAGAGCTTGGAAGCCCAGCTTCCAGACTCTTGATGAGTTCTTCATTCTAGAGGAAGAAAGGAAATGGCCAACTGCCACAACCCTCCTGATAGGTCTTTTTTGAGACTCTTATGTTTAAACCAGCAGAATTCCAAAATCCAGTCTAAATCTGAGGTGAATTTTATTTTGTTTGTTTGTCACATAGGTATTCTATCTTTTTTTAAAAAAACCCAAAACTCAGGGCCATCAGTTTGGGCCTCCTTCCCATTTTCTCTCCTCACAACCACCTTATGGAGTTGACAGAGACACACTGCCCCAGAGTAGCCCAGTGAACTTCGTTGGCAAAGCAGGGATTTGAACCAGGGCTTCCCTAGCCTTAAACTTCTTACACAATGCTAGCTCTGAGATTGTCTTATCACCCACCCACCTTTCATTCCTGCAAGAAACTGACACTTTGCAGAATCCTCTCCAGTTGCTTTCCATCATTTTGTGTCTGTCAGAGTCTTGCCTATGGAAAATTTGCTGAAATGTCCCTCTCTGTTTTTTTGCCTCATATGAGTTAGGATTTGGGTGAGACTGTGTGCACTATTCATCTAATCACAGACACTCATCATCATCATCCTAGCTGGGCCATTGAGGAATGTAAGACTTTAACTTTCTTTTTCCTTTTATCACCCTGCATAAGCATCTTTTGCGCCTCTGGCCATTCATGTGTTCTTCTGTTCCTGTATTTCTGCATGCATCTCAGGTGAGACATATGAATGTGCTACGAATATTGCACTAATCCTTTACGGGGATCTTCACCAAGAGCCTTCACCTTATGAAGGAGAAAAGGACGTATCCCTTAAATGCGTCATTTCCAACCACTACAAATTCTGATAGAAGAGGAATCCATGCTGTGCTCTCCTCGAACTAGCAAGTCCAGCTTAGTTATTTCTATGTATTTTTAAGGACAGTGAAGTGGAATGGGGAAAATATTGGAGGCTTCTATAATGCTTTTGGAATGTATGGATCCCTTCCATGCTAAGAGGGTGGACAGAAAGCAGGAAGCATCATGTGAGTGGCACAACTTGGAAAAGTTCACTTTCTTGGGCAACCACGCCCAGAACCCACTGGAGAAGCCGGCTAGGGATTCTCAGAGCTAAAGTTTCAAACAGTAGCTTTTCTAAGCTCTCTTGCATGGTAAAAGAAGTAAGGCGGAACTAAAAGTTAATGATATGTTTCAGCCCCAAAGAGGATTTGAGATGGCAAGCTGCGATTAATATTTCATGAAAAGCCACCCTTGCCATCCTTTTCCAGCCCTTTCTCGCATTGTTATTGTTCTGGAGGTGATGCTTGTCATTGTTATCTTTGTTGTCATACCCTGGTACCCTTTATTTATTTTGTAAAAGCAAGGAGGCCTTTGGCATGCCAGAGAAAGAGTCATGACTCGGGTGTTTAGATAGCCAGATTTTATTGCCTACATAGCAAGTTAGAATGAGGACAAAGCTTTATTTCTCCTGTCTACTTCTTTGGGGGGGGGGGTTCATGAGAAATTAGCAGTATCCCAAGGAAAAGGAGGAATCATAGCCACTAACCAGCAATAGAAAAATCAAAGACTGTGCCCAGTCCACAAAGCTCTGTCAACAATGTTCATAGTGTGTGTCGATGCACTGCATACCAGAAGGATATGGGAGGTGAGCATTTGGACTCAAGCATTCAGTAGAGTAGCCTCTTGATTGGCAAGTAGATTTGTAGGTAAGTGGGGAAGTTGGGAAATATTCTGGTGGTACCAAGATCCTGTTCTGACCTTAAACATAAGCCCGCAGGGCAGCAAAGATAGCTAAAGCTGCAGCACCCACAAGGGCCAGATTAAGGCAGCAAGCACCAGTGAGAACAGGCGCCACTGCTACTTCCAATGCTCTTCATAAATATGTTGAGTGAAGATCTTGGAGGATAGATGCTATGAGTGGCATGCTAATAGATGCTATGAGTGGCATAAGACAGCTAACCTAGAACACATGTGCATTTGGAGTATAACAGAGGAGTGGGCATCCTTCAGTCTCAAGAGACTATGGTAACATGCTTTGAATAGAGGTCTTGGAACAGCGTCTAGTGTGGCTGAGAAGGCCAGTTCGAGAGCGACAATCCCTTCCACACTCCCTTTGCCAACGAAGACAAATACAATCTGTCCCCTGTCCAGCTCCCTGATTTTGCTGGTTTCAGGACTGCCTCTTTGCCTCGGCCTGCTGGACAAGGGTCTCTTCAAATTGCGAGAGGCCGTGATGCACCGCCTGCCTCCAGGCTGAACGCTCAGATGTCAGGGTTTCCCATCTGTTGAGGTCCATTCCTAAGGCCTTCAGATCCCGCTTGCAGATCTTGTATCGCAGCTGTGGTTTCCCTCTGGGGTGCTTTCCGTGCACTAATTCTCCATACAGGAGTAGAGGCTGGCATTCACGGAAAGGGTTGAAAAAGTAAAGTGCCTCTTCTTTTTGGGGGGGAAATGATTATAAGACATAGGATTTATGGTCCAGCTAAAACATTTTATCTTTCTTGAAGACTAGAATCTTGAGGTGTGGTCTAGAACCATTGAAACCAATTATTTCTTTGCTGTTGTTTTTCTTATGGCAGAGATTCACTGGTAAGAGAGGGATGAATTAAAGTATATCTCCAGTCAGTTTGGAATGGGACAGCTGACTGATCCCTGAAGCTCTGGGTTGAGATAATATTGAGAAGGAAGAGATAGGTTGAATCGTTCTGGTTTTTCTCTGTGTCCCAGCACTTAAATGCCAAACCAGAGCTTGAGGCACTCATTGTGGGGGAACTAGGAATACCAGTCCCTTTCTTCTGCTGCCTGGACACTGATGGAATGTGGTGGTCCTCTAGCAAATAGCTGTAATCCACAGGTAAAATCATCAGGATGCCCTGAAAGGGTGGCGTCTGCAAGCATGGCAGCTGGATGAGAAGAGAAAGGGTTGGGGGCAACCTGCTATGTGAAAACTCATTCTGTATCAGATATTTTGCAGGATAGTATCATGCAGAGCCTGGGGGGAAGTTGTTTTGAGATGACAGCTCAGGGAATTCTGCAGCCAACATGGCATGTTCTTTGAAGGTCTTTGAGAACAGTTGACCACAAAAAGTAATTTCAGTATAGCTATGGGCTGCATGAAATTTAACTTTTTCCAGTTTAGAAAGCTGGACTTCTGATCTGGATCCTACATTTCATTTCAAATAAAGTACTTTTCTGAACCTCATCTCTTCTCCAAAGGTATAATTTCTCTTAATGGAGGAGTTGGGAACCGTCTTGGCAAAGGGGTCAAATGTAATTTTGGATAGGCTTTTCAGGTCTGCAGTTCATGCTCAGGTGGAATATGGATAGAGCAGATGAGCAAACTCGACCTAGGTATAATTTATTTTATTAATTGATTATTTTATTTCTATGTTGCCTTTTTCACAGTATAGGTACCCAGTGCATCTCACAATTACTTTTTTAAAAGATGCATCTAAAAGTGCAACATGAAACTAAGTTGCAACAAAGTTACGACATCAAAAAAACAATTAAGAATATAATATTAAAGAGACCATAAACATGAGAAATGTACAAAATTCCAAAACAATGCACTTTTCTTCCCGTGCTTCTGTCCTACTAGGAGCCTGCCTCAAAATGAAGGTATTTAGATATTTCTGGAAAGACTGAGGGCAGGGGACAGCCTGAAAAGGCTTTCTCTCATGTCCTCACCAAAAAAGCAGGACTGAGAGAAGACCCTCTCCTGAAGTTTTTTAAATCCAGACTAGCTCATGTAGAGAGAGACACAATCCTTCAAACAGACTTGACCCAAGTTTGCAAGTTCCTAGCCTTACCCTTTGAATTGGGCTGAGACCTGGACTGGCAACTGCTGATATTGTTGCAGAGGAGCTATGCATTCCCTGTAACCAGCCCCTGTCGGCAGCAATTCAAAGCAGGTGGGTGTTTTCCTGCAAAATATAGCTTAATGATATCACCAAGTTGTAGAGCCAGAAAGGACCAAGAGTCTTCGAGTCCATTCTGTTGACAAAGCTGAGCATCTCCCATTAAAGCATCCCCAACCTCTGTTTCAAAAACCTTGAACTGTGGAGAGTCCATCACCTTCGGAGGTAATCCTTTTTTGAATTGTCAAGAATCATTTTTTTTCATGTTGGAATTGTTTATAGTTGTGCCTTCAGAGTTTCTTTCTTTCTTTTATTTTCTTTTAGAAACTTACCCATCTTGGACTCCTTTTCTTATTAGGATTTCCTGCCATGAGAGCTTACCTATCATTGTTCTGAACTTATTAAAATTTAATAAACAGAGTTTTTAAAAAGAAGTTCTTAATTTCTAGGTGAAATCCCCTTTGTTGGAATTTGAATCCATTGCTTTGGATCTTACCCTTCAGAGCTGCCAGTAACAAGCTCATCCCATCTTCTATGTAATAGTCCTTCAGATATTTAAATGTGGTTCTCAGCTTCCCTTTTCCTGGGTAAACATACCCAGTTCTCTCAACTCTTCTTCAGAAGAATTCATTTCCAGAACTTTTACCTTGTTCATTGCCCTTCTCTGTGTATACTTCACCTTGTTGATATCTTTCTTCAACCACAGTGTCCAGAACTGGATACAGTATTCTATGTGAAATCCAACTATAGCAGAACAGAGTGTTACTATTGAGGACTCTATACTTCTGCCAATGCAGCCTGGTATTGAATTAGCATCACATTCTACTGTTGTCTCATATTTAGCGTGTGGCCTACTGAAACCTCCAGATCCTTTTCACTCACATTACTGCCAAGGTAAAGATAAAGGTTCCCCTTGACATTTAGTCCAGTCGTGTCTGACTCTAGGGCGAGGTGCTCATCCCCGTTTCCAAGCCGGAGAGCGAGCGTTTGTCTGAAGACAGTTTCCGTGGCCAGCGTGACTAGACACGGAACGCCGTTACCTTCCCACCGAAGTGGTACCAATTTATCTACTTGCATTTTTACATGCTTTCAAACTGCTAGGTTGGCAGGAGCTGGGACAAGCGATGGGAGCTCACACCGTCGCGTGGATTCGATCTTGCGACTGCTGGTCTTCTGACCTTGCAGCAGAGAGACTTCTGTGGTTTAACCCGTAGCACCACCACATCCCTATTACCAGTTGCTAATAATCCTACAGTATATTTGTGCATCTGGGGGGGTTTTGTGCCTGAATGTAAAGCATTACATTTTTCTCTGTTGTTCTATGTCCTTTTGCTTGTTTTGGCCCAATCTCTCCACTCTGTTAAAATCGTCTTGAATCCTGATTCTACCTTCTGATGTATTAGCTACCCATCAAGTCTAGTGTCTTCTGCACATTTAATGAGCATCCCTTCCATACTCCTATCCTGGTCATTTATAAAGATGTTGAAAAACAGTGCCCACTACGGGCTCGAAACAGAATCCTGAGGGATCCTATTTGTCACCTCTCCAGGATGACAAGGAACTATAGGTAGGTACTCTTTGTCTATGGATTATCAACAAGCTGGAATCCACTACACAGTACCATCACCTTAATATTCCCTTGATTTGTCTGCCTCCTGTATTTCAGGACCTCACCTATTCTCCAAGAATTCTCAAACATTATAGACATAAACTCTGGCATTACAACTCCAAGTTCCTTTACTAACCTTGGATACAGCTCATCTGGCCATGGAGACCATTCATTTAAAGTAGCTAGGTCTGTACTGCCATACCATCTCTTCACATATCTTGGGCCACATTGTCCCCTATATCTTATTTAAGTTAAATACCATTTTCCATTTGGGAGAAGATGTAGGCGAAGTAGCTGTTGAGCAGTTCTGTCTTCTGTTTGTTGCCCATTAGCATTTCTCTATTCTCTCCATGCAGCAGACCTTCTGCTTCTTTGTTCTTTCTCTTGTTCTGATCTTAGCTGAAAACTCCAATTGTGTTATTTTAAACCTCTTTTGAAAGTCTCAGCTCATTCTGGGATTTAGCTCATCTGACTTTCTGCTTATAAATATTAGCTACTTATTTATACTGTTCCTTGATTATTTACCCCTCCTTTCATTTCCTATACTTTTAAATCTTAGCAGAAAGCTCCTTCTACAGCCATCCTGTTTTCTTTAAATGTTTCCACTTTTCTTTCTTATATGAATTTTGTGATTGTGGCTTCAGTGTGTTTTCTTTAAAGAAACTCCCTTCCATTGTGGACATTGTTATTTTTCAAATCCTGATTCTCACGTAGTCCTTCCTTAAGTTTATTGAAGTCACGTTTCTTAAAATCTAGAGTGCCTGTTCTTTTACGCTCAGCTTTTCTTTTCCTCAGTACAATAGATGCCAAGAGGTTACGATCACTTCCCCTTAATGTTTCTACTATTTCCAACTCACTGACTAATTCTTCCCTAGCTGATCCCCTTGTTGCTTCTTCCATCTTCTGGGAAATGAAGTTTTCAGTGAGGCAAGTGAGGAGTTTCAATAAAGCAAGTTATCTACTGAACTCAATTTTATGCACAAATACACATGAGTAAGCTGCCAGTGCAATACCCTTCCTTCTGCCTTAATTCCCTGCAAGAGCTTTGCCACCTGCAAGCTACAGCTCAGTTCTGTGCCAATATTTGTTTGTTTGTTTGTTTATTTATTTGCCACCTTTCTCCTAAGGTTCCAAAACAGCTTACAGTATTAAAAGAAACAAAGTTAAAAGCTAAACAATAATCAATTATTACAATATGTTTTAAAAGCATCTGTTTCATACTTACATTAAAACTTATAAATAAGAGCAATATTAAAGACACAAGTAAAACAACGGAATAAAATAATCCCTTTAAAAAAATCCCCGTGGTGAACAAGTCATTTAGAAGAGAGCCTGCTTGGAGAGAAAAGTCATAATCTGCTTGCAGAAGGACAGCCATGATGGGGCCAGGTTGGCCTCCTGTGGGAGAGAGTTCCAGAGTCTAGGATCAGCAACACAGAAGGCCCTTTCCTGGGTCCCCACCAAAGGTGCCTGTGAGAGAAAGGCCTTCCGGAAGATCTTAATACCTGGTTAGGCTCATAATATGGTCTTTTAATAATAATAGGGTCTTTTAGATAGCTTGGACCCAAGCCAT